TGATATAGACGATGGTATAGACGATAGTATAGACAATGGTATAGACAATGATAAAATTAAACTTGGTTTTTTTCTAATCTATGTTTTTTATTATAATGATTATGGTGTGATATTCTTTTAAATAGTACAAATAAAATAACTAACAGGCAAAATAATACTATTCAATGAGCCGTTAGGATTTTTAACCTAGAGCTGATATCCTACTCAAGAAGAATAGTAATTATTTTACTAAAATATAATGGAGAGGAAACTGATATTTTATTTTTGATAAAATTTAGGCGAGTATATATAATAAATTAAAGGAGAATTTACAAATAAGGACCCAAAAATGAAAATAATTACAAATAAGGGCCCAAAATGAAAATAGCTACAGATAATAGCCCGATATTTGAAAATTATTACAAATAAGGGCCCAAATATACTATAAAATTGCTAGCTAATTTAAACATGATGATATGAATGCGTAAAAGTGAAAATCTGGAAATTGAAGTTGACCCCTAAAAAATTATATACATATCATAATTAATTGCTTCATTTTGTGTTAAATAGATGTTTTAGAATTATCATTCATATTCAAAAAAAAAAATTTGATGATCAACCAGATTTTTAAAATCTATATAATGCAAAACAAAAAACTTTGTGTGGCCTAATAGCATTACTTCACTTCAGAACAAACATGATTTATAATGTCATGAGATCGAAGTACTACTATATTTTTAACTAATAGTGCAGTAAACTTTACAAGATATAATCTACATGCTTTGAATGCTTCTATAGAGTTGGACAAGTTGGATCCTGAGAAATTAGCTTTACTATATGAATGTAGCCATCTTTGCGCTTATTAGCTGAAATAGTAAAAGAGTATGAAGTGGCTTAATTTGTAAAACAAATAGCTAACAGCTTATTGGGTTTGTTCGTTTTGAACTTATAAGAAGAAGAGGATTTGACAGAATAACCGTTTAAGACCAAATGAACATTTTCTATATCATACTGATCTGTAATAACATGTGTTTGTTATAAGCAAGTTTTAAAAAATATATCAAGAATTTCAATAGAATAAATTTATAGCGCAAATAATAGGTTAATGTATATTTTTATTGTGTATTTGAATTTATATTCGAATTACTAATTGATTATTATCGTTATTACATTTCTTATGCATTAATAGTTAATGACTATATTACAATTATATTCAAATCATCGAAACAAGGCTTAAATTATTTTCAAATATCATGTCTCTATCTAAATTATTTTTATTTGGGGCCCTTATTTGTAATTATTTTCACCTTTGGGCCCTTATCTGTAAATTTCCCTAAATTAAAATAATGATGATACTATTTTTACCTGAATTAAACTTGAACATTAGTAATACAGTACATATACCATTATTGATGAATAAAACTTTTCTACATATAATGATAAATTGAGTTAGTCAATAGTAGCTTAATATGCACAATTACAATGAAACTTAAATTTTTTAAAAAAATAATAATGATAGTCATATTACCATTTTACCTCAATCAATACTTTATTTATCTTAAAGAGGTTAAAGTAGAGAATCTCAGTTTAAAGATAAATTATGCTATGTAAATTTTAGCATATTTCAGTAGTCGAATTAGGATATGAACTACAAACAAGATAAGAAATACACATATGAGATAAGATAATACTGTGAAAACAGAAAGAAATATACTAGATCCAAATTGTGAGGAATTATATTTGTAACATTGATGGTTAATTGATTCATTATTGTAAAATGATTTTTTTATGTGCTGCATACCAAGTGTGAGAATCAAGTACGTTTCCTCCTGTTTGCAGTGAATCATACCACATATCTGCACATTATTTCGAACACTTGTACGTTTTTTGAACACCTGCATGTTATTTCGAAATAAGAATAATTTTCTGTACTATATCACTTATGTGTAGAGATATTAATTACCTGTTCTATTTTGGTCCAGCCTGGTCTGGTCTTTAATAATTTATATTTAAAGATTTAAGTAATTTAAGCATGTTTAGACTGGTCCAGACTGGTCTAGTCTTAGAGCTTAGAGAAGGCTGATTTTTTTCAGTTTCATACTGGTCTTAAGACTAACTGTGGTTTAGTGGTCTAGACCTGACTAGGGCTTCTCATTTTTGGTAACAACTGATCCCAAAATTCGTATGTATTACCTGTTTATTTATGTAAAATTATGCAACAAATTTTTTAAAATATGCAACAAATTATGCAAATTAGATAGAAATATGTAGTTATAAATAGAAATATATGATTACTTTACAGACCTTATTATATATAAATATTAAGAAATTTTTGGTCATTTTAATAATAAGCATTTTATACAGTTTGATTTTTTTTGTTTATTTATTATCTCGAGTTTTTACGTATTTATTTCTCATTTTTGGTTAGTATATAGTTTTAAAACATGTTGACTATCTCTATCATAAAGCATATTAAAGGCTATCGATTAAAAATAAACATGATACAAAAAAATTATGTATTTTGCTCAAAAAGTATACTTTTAGTTATATTTTAAAAAAAAAGATAACAGTATTCCACATTTATTACTAAATAAAAAAAATTAATTTCTGATATTATTTAAAAAAATCTGTAAAAAATCTTCAATAATATAATAATACATATTATGCTACTTATGGTTTGATTTTATTAGTTTGATGATCACTCTAATGAAACATTTATGAGTAATCTATGGAATGCACTACTAATACTGATTAGACAATAGATATCTGCTCTGAGGAAGGTCTGCTTGAAAGCACCTATAATTAATTATCATTTACCCAGTTAAATTAACAACACTGACTATTATTCTACACATTTTTAATTTAGAAGCTCTGAGAATTATAGAAATTTATGTACGCAACTTATAATTATTTAGTATATGCAGTATTATATTTAGAAAATGTACTTAGCTCTAATTAGATATATTACATGTTAAGCACACTAGTCAAAACAACTAACCATCAATAATAATACTGTAAATTGCTATGCAAGGAACCTTCTTGTAATATACCCCTTTGATTTGTACCGGGTATGTTTCAAGGTTATTTGTTGTGATATTTTGTAAGAGACCTGGGTATAAATCAATGGCTGATTTAATAATAAAAGATTTTTTTTCTAATAGACTAATATACACTCTTTACAAAATACCCCCTAGGTAATATACCTTCTGCTATACAATATACTCAGGGCAGGGACCTGTAAAAATTTAGAAACAAATAAATCTAAATAAATCTAAATTCATAACCAAATTCTAAAGAAATCCAAATTAACTGTTATTACCTAAATAAATATAAATTTTTATTATTTTTTATAAAATTCTCAATTTTTATTAGTCAAAAATTATTAAAAATCAGGTGATCTGACATTGAAGCAGTAAATTTCAGAAATATAAATATTATTTTCAGGTATTCTCAAAATAATATACTATTCTGTAATTGGCTTTTTTGAAGTTTAATACTAACAGCTAATAAAAAAACAGTTTCTTTAATTTTTCAAACAAAATTTTTTAAATAAACTAAATAATTTTTATAGATTCTTATATTAGGCTACACAAATTTAATTTATTGGTTCTTGTAATATGAAACTTCTTAAATAGACTTGGCTGGCTAGCTTTTTTTTTTTAATTTTATATATATAAATTTATAAAATTTTCATAAAATTTTTTTTTAAAAACTCACCTGGTTATTAAAATATATAAAAAATTTTTTTGTAAAACTTTTCAAAATTTGACCTAGCCAGGTTATGAGAACCAATTAATTAACTTGATATGACCTTATATATATCAATTTTTGCTAAGATTATAATCCAAATTTATACAAATTTTTGTGATTTTCCAAACAAATTTTTTTCATAATCCAAATAATTTTTACGGGTTCTTGACCCAAGGTATAAATCAAGATTTGTTGTTATATAAAATGTAAAATACCCGGGTCTCTTGCATGGCAATTTACAGTAATATCGCATAGTGAAATATCTATCATTAACAGAGTATTGTTTAAGAACATAGTTTAAAGAAAGAAAACAAAATTCAATTAGAAAGCCACAAAACTTTATATTATATTTTGATTCATATTATATACAGTACATACAATTTTGTTTATTTAGTTTTTAATTTGTTAATTGATCAGATAATATAAATATATTAATCAATGCGTTATAACTATGTAGTACTTTAAACTCTCATATTAAAATTTTAATATTTAAGATATAATGCAAGTTATTTACAAAATTTTCTTTAAATTATATAAATAGCTATGAAATATTAAAAAAAATTTAAAATTTAAGTTTTAAAAAAAATCTTCTTAACAAATTAAAAAGCATGCTTTTTAAACCCATTTTATAGTATTTTTAAGTTCAGATAATTAATACTAAAAAAAGAATTAAATTTTAAAGATTTATCACTTTCATATATGTAGTAAATTCTTATTAAAAAATGATATTCATTTGTATAATAGTCAAAGTAAAAGCTGTACATACTAATTAGTTTAACTAGAGGTCTATACCAATTTTTATTACAATCATTCTACTGGTAACGGATCTTTTGCTTTTAATCTATTTCTAGTACGTGACAAATCTAAAAATAATCATCATCAAAAATTAATGTTTAGTTATATTTATAATTAAATATTATGTATTTTCTTACCAATACGTTCTCTTCTACAATCTGAAGGTTGTGAGGGAATCTGTATCTGCTCTGCTTTTAGTTTAAAAAGCTAGATCTGGCAGTTTAACTAGCATGTGTCTTCAAGATTTTGACATTTGATTAGTTCAGAAACCATATTACCTTTTGTATCTCTTTTAACACCATTCTCAAGATTATTATATACAGAAAAAAGTTCTGTAAATGATGAAAGAAGGAGCTATACACAAAATATACAATGCTATGACGAATTTCTTTTGTAACAGGAAAATTACTATGGAGAAGCAGACGCAAAGAAAATATTATAACTTGATTGGGGCAAAGTAGAATATTTATTTTTAATTAAGAAAAACAGAGTTCACCTCCTTCAAAATCACCAAGGGCAACAAGACAACAAAGACTATTTGGCTCATCATTTTCATCCCAATGATAGTCACTTACAGTATTATAGTTAATAGCTATCATTAAAAAACCCCAAATGATCTAAATGCAAATAGACCCCATTTTAATATACTTAATAGGTTTCCATAATATTTTTAAAAAAATTGATTAATGCAGTTTGACAAAGAAACAAGTTCACTTAATAATTTATTAACATATTCCAAATATTCAATATTGTGACTGTTTGCAGTATTTGAACTTACATAGAGAAGGAGATTATTCAATATAAACATACCGAAGTGTTCAATAAAATTTTTCCAAAAACTTTCGCTTCTATAAGACAGATTACCTAATATATGAAAATAGTATAAATTAATAGCTTCAGTTGCTTTAGTGATAGGATCAATATTATCTAGTAATTCTAGGTAAATCAAAGTCTGATTATTTTTATCTACAACACATTCCGGGGTTATTATATAATAAAACCCAACTAATCCTTTGCTAGATTGCAAATTATATGCCAATATAAGCATACGATTTTTTTCTTTTTTAATAATATATAAAACTGTTGGTATGAATGATTCTTTAATACTGCAAAAATGCAAAGCATGTTTCAGTTTTTGCTATCTCAATCAGAGATGTTGTCTTACTTCTCTTCTTTTAATTTTTTTCTTAAATCCAAGCCATTTACCTAATGCAATCCACACATATTTATCTGATTTAGAAAAACTAGACAGACAACTATCTTTATTATACAAATTGTTAGAATTAATAATATCCTTATTTATTATTATAAGAAAGTCGTTAGATATTTCAAACAATTCAAGGGTATTATTATTGTTTATTTTTACTTTACGAATAAGGGTCTCGACCAACAGGTCCATTGTGAATATTTCATGCAAAACTTTGATAGTTGCAGTCGATACACAATCCAAAGGGCAAAGAGGAACACTTATCTACTCTTTTTCAATATAATGTATTTTATTCTTAGTGCATAGCCCACAAGTTGCTTGCTGGGTATGATACTAATAATATTACAAAAAATTATTAAATTATGAACAAATAAATAAAAAAATATGCAATATATAGTACTTATTTTTGCAGACTGAACAAAACACTCTTGTCTAAGTACTGTATCACCTAATAGTGATTATGAGCCTATTGAGTTTCACAATATATATTAGTCAAAGGTCCTGGTTGCTATTGCAACAATTTTTTGTATAACTAAGTATACACATACAAATAACTTAGGTGACTGTTCTATCAA